TTTTCATTAGCAAGTCTGCATAAACATTTTGGCTGTTTAAAGATGAAAGTATTTTTTGACTCACTTGAAGAGATTATTAAAGTTGTCACCATACACAGGCAACTACAATGGGATGCAAAAGTTTGGGCAACCTTGCTAATAGTCATTATTTTCATTGGTTGTTAGAATAAAAAATGCAAGAGTGATTTGGCAAGGATGGAAGGGACATGTCCCCACCAATATCCAGCGATTATTGAATTGTCCCCACCAATAATTTGATCTCTTTGAGTAAAGAAAAACAAAATTGATAGAAAGAAAAAAACTATCTGTCAACGCCTCATTCGCCTGAGCTTGAAGGGTAGACCCCCCGCAGGGGCGAGAGGGGAATTTATATGTTTAAAAAAACCTAACCTAAATGACAGCAACATCAAGTTTTCTTTCTTTCTTTCTTTTTAAAGAACGGTCGTACTAGAACATGGGCCGGCCGCTCTCAGAGCGATTCGATATATGACTACATGCTCATCCAACTGAGCTAAACCTACACCCGTCTTTCTTTCTTTCTTTCTTTCTTTCTTTCTTTCTTTCTTTCTTTCTTTCTTTCTTTCTTTCTTTCTTTCTTTCTTTCTTTAGGAAGAATGTTTCATGTGTAGCACATATGTTGTTTAGATACCCCACCCTTGAATCAAAGAAAACAAAGCTCTGAAAAGTAGAAACATTTAAAACCCAACTATCTTTTCTAAACTGAACAGAGTTTCATCTTTCACTGTTTCAAAATGGGCAAATTTGAAACACTTGGGGAGATTCTTAAAGCTGTGAATACAGACAACCAGTTACTTTCAGGACCATATGTCACAGCAGAGGAGACAACTGGCAACTGTCTCATGATCAAAAAAACATAGACAATAAATATCCTGCTCTCTCTATCACAGCTCGTCTGACTGTGAGTCCCAGCAGCTCTCAGTTCTTTAGAGGAGACTTTGTGACTCTGAGCTGTGAGGAGGACGACAGCTCTGCTGGATGGACTCTGTGGAGAAACACAAGCACAGAACAGAGGACTCAGTGTAGAGATGGGTGGGAAAAACCAGCTGGTTCATCCTGTAACATCACCTATATCTTCATGTGGGACAGTGGAGTTTACTGGTGTGAGTCCAGAGAGGGTCCCATCAGTAACATGGTTAAGCTGACAGTCACTGGTAAGCTGAGTGTGTGGAGTTAGTGTTGATGAAGCTGTGTGTAAATGGATGAAATGCTGTAGTTTGTCTCTGTGTTGAGGTGGATCAGTGATCCTGCAGAGTCCTGTCCTCCCTGTGATGGAGGGAGATGACGTCACTCTGCTCTGTAAAACAGAGACCACTCCCTCCAACCTCCCAGCTGCTTTCTATAAAGATGGCTCCCTCATCAGGAAGCAGCCTACAGGTCACATGACCATCCAGCATGTTTCCAGGTCTGATGAAGGCCTCTACAAGTGTGACATCAGCGGTCATGGAGAGTCTCCATCCAGCTGGGTCACTGTCACAGGTGAGGAGCTTCACTCTGATTTCACCTCTTATTTCATCCATATATTCACCAGAACAGGTGGGATTCTCTCTGCAGGTAACCCTACAACCAGAGCTCCACCAACCACATCAGCACTACCCCCTGACTACAGCTCCCTCCAGCTTGCGTTCAGAGTGCTCCTCCACCTGGTGGTGTTCTTTCCATACTTCATGTCCACTCTTCTCATGATATCTTTATATCAACTCAGAGCCAAAGGTAACACTCTGAATCACTCACTGAACAATCAATATGGTGATGATTAACTCATCTCTCTGTCTGAACTCCTCATAAGTTAACAGCAGATACATTTTAAAACTTATCTTTCAGGAAATGAACCTCATGCATCAGTGGAAAAGATGCAACCCAGTCAGGCTGAGCAGGGATTAGATGCCCACTATGATGATGTCACTACAGAGCATCACTTCTGACCTGAAATTAAGCAGAGACCTGCAGTCTCATATTGCATTCAGGTCCTGTTGCTGTTCCTGTAAATTTCCACACTGGAAACAAATTAACCCTTGTAATAATACCTCAAACAAAGCAGCAACATATGTGATGTGCATGACCAGCTATGCACTCTCACTGTGTCATAATATCCGGGAGTATTTGACATCCACAGGAGAAACTCAGACAGAGCCCAGGCTGAGTTACTACACGTTACACCATGAAAGAGACGAGAGTTTCTTTAGATCCAACGATCAAAGATCAACAACTATATTAATTAAAAATGAAATCATGGATGAAAATACATTTAAAACACAAGAAATGAAAAAATAATTATTATTACAATATTACAGTACTCTCTGGTCGTTTGCACTCTCAACACTTTCTCGATCCTTTCACATTAAAGGCCTTTTGTTTAAGAATACAAACAAAAAATCTTTGTTAAATTCTGTCTGTTGTTAAATGTTTCTAACAGTTAGTAGCAGCAGGTTTGCCTGCCTGCACTTTATAGAAAGAACCTGCAGGATGCATAGAAGCTCTTTACTGACATCTGGTGGCTCAAAACAACAACTGTTTGAATTCTAAATTATAGTTAATTTATTTTTTTAATATAACTATATTTGTGTACAAAGCTCTGTAGCCAGTTGTGTGATGGAAAGTTTCTGCTCTTCTCTGTGTCAGGCTAACCTGGCTGAATGAAAGGCTCCACAGTGTCACGCTCTGCCTCCATATAATCTTTCAGTACTAAATATTCCCACATGTACAGCTCTGCTTTTCTCACCATGATAAATAACTTGTGTCTATAAATGATTTGGTGCTTGTTGTTCTTGTTGGTCAGATGTGATGCAGACTGCAGTACTCTGTACTGTCGTTTGTCTCTTTGCAAAACAGATTAAACCTCACAAAGACGACCTGTTCTTGTGTGATTCAATTTATTTCATATTTCCATAACAGTTAGTGGTAGTTCAGACACACAATTGTTTATGCTTTTTGTTTCACAGAATGTTTGATGGTAAAGAGGTTCTTATTTAAAAAAAATACAATTCTAGATGGTTTCTGTTATATACGAACCATTCTAAAACATGGACATCAAAAGCTGATTAAAGAGGGGTTTTATTGTATTTATTAGATTTGTTATGATTAGTGATTTATAATTTTTTTATTATTATTATTGTTATTATTATTTAACACAATTTAAATATAAAATAAATAAAAAAATAACTTAAAAAAACAGTTAAGCACTGTTGCCTCACAAGAAGAAGCTCCTGGGTTTGACACCACCATCTGTGGATGTGGTGTGCTCCAACTTCGAAAGTCCAAACACATGCACTTAGTGTGTTCAATTAATTAGTGATTCCTAATTGTTCATAGTTGTGAATGGATGTAAAACTTTAGGTAAAACCTAATATTAGAGTGAACACTGTAATTTGACAGTCGTTCTCCAGTATAATGAAAATTATTAAAAAGTTTGCCAGAACTTGAGACGGTCAGAACCTGACTGATGATCCTGCAGGTTGGATGTCTTCTGTTATCCTCAACGCTAAGGTGACTGAAGATCAGCAGCAGGGCTTTTAATCTGCTGTTCACTTGCAACTGGTATTAAGATTTTTTTTTTTCTTTTAGAGCTTTTAGATCACAGTGATACCAATGAGGTAACTCTCAGCTGACTGTGACCAGGGACATTCTTGCCCATATCACCTTCACTCGAGTCCCACTGACATATACTTCAGCTCACCCATAAAGTGGTGGGCCACGTAAAATCACAGAGCGGGTCGGCAGATGCTGAGGCACATAGTGTGCAGAGGCCAGCAGCTTTCTGCAGAGTAAGTCACTATGGACCTCCAAACTTCACGTGGCATTCAGATTAGCTTAGAGAGTGTCATGGAATGGATTTCCACAGAAACAGCAGCATCCAAGCATTATATCAGCAAACACAATGCAACATGTCATACGCAGTTGTATACAGCATGCCACCACTGGACTCTAGAGCACTGACATAAGACATTTTGGATAATTTAATGTTCCTAACTTTGCGGCAACAGTTTGGGGATGGCCCCTTCCTGTTCCAACATGACTGACAGGTCCATAAAGGCCTGCACAGAGTCCTGATCGAAACCTGACAAAACACCTTCAGGATGAATTAGAGCAGAGACTGCTCTAATTATTTTTAGATTTTGTGTTCATTTTTAATCTGTGTAAGCATCGAATAAGTCTGTTAATAAAGCTTGATTGATTTATTAGTTCTAAACCTTGTGGAAAGCCTTCCACAAGGTTTAGAACGATATAGTAGTGCATTTAATTTCTGGCACACTTTGCATTTGCAAAGCAACTGTTGAAACTAGCTCTCTTTTTTTATTATTACTTTAACCATGAAATTTTAATTTATACAAAAAAAACGAGGATCTACATTTTTTTTCATATAGTGTCACTGCTATGAGAAGATGGAGTAGATCACTGCCAATTACAGTGTCTTATTTTGACTTTTAAAAGTTGTTGGAGTTACTGTTACTAACAAAGATACTAACTATTTACTATGTTACTAACAATGCAAGACGTAACCATATAAAAAAATCATTAGAAAAATGCACCTTGGTGTGGTACCTGTCTGCACTCTAAACATACACCGAGTAGTTCTCATTTATAATTATCAGTGAACTTTACGTTCGTTACATTTATTTTTCCCCAAAAACACATTAGTGCACGCGTGAATATGTGAATGAAGTTATGAACTTATTACGAAGTTCAGTACTTTATATTGAGGGCAGACCAATCCACGCGCTGAGGTATCGTAGCAACGGGCAGACGCTCAATGCCGAAAGTCGGAAATGACGACAGAATTATTAGTTCAAAGTAGTGCTTTATTTCTTAAGGTGTGCATTGATGACATCATTATGGTGATTATAAAGAAAGGAATCTAAATTCAGATTTAAAAAAACAAACAAACAAACAAACAAAACCTTTGTACCCTAAGGTGGTACGGTCCAAAAGCTCCCGTGTGGTTGGAACGGTCCTCTAGCGGCGGGAAAAACCATTGTGGATCACGTGACACGAACACAGAGGTCAATATGGCGACGTGCATTAGAGGATAGCTTAGTAACAAGAAGCCTTGTTGTTTCGTGTTTTTTGTCCGCGGTGCCAGGCGGCAGTCGTTCTGTGTGCAGGTGAGTCTACGTCACATCCACGGTGCATGCCACGAACACGGAGTAAGGGTGCGCGAGTCGGCATGTTAGCGCGAGCTTTCAGTGGTTAGCCTGTATTTGTAAACAAAGCGTAAACACGCAGACGAGAGCGAAACTGATGAGCTAGTGTGAAAGATTATACTTTGCACACGCAAAGGTCAGCTGGTGGGACGATTCAGGTCCAGGAAGTGAAATGTTTTACTTACAGACTTCAAGTCTGGCCCTGCTTATGCATCCTCTCAGGTTTAGCACATGTTGGGTGTATTGATTGAAGTATTGCTGCCACGTTATCGTTAATCTCCAAGTTTACGTTAAATGTATTAATTCTTTGTGTGGTGGTGTGTTTGAGTTTGAAATTGAGTTGAGGAAATATTCAAATCCCCAACTAGTGGAAAAGCCCTCTAACTCAGGCCTGACATTCATATTTAAAAAGAAGAGAAAGGAAACAGTTGGGGTTTCCGCTTTAATTGTTTCCTACAGACGATTTTATGCACCTGGTAAGATCAGGGCTGGACACGCACAGTGAACAAAACACGGAGCAAAGTAATACTTAAAAAAAATGTCACAGTCCATGTATTCTGTGGTCAGAAGTTCACACCCACCCATGAATGTCATGATAATTTTAGGCGTTTGATGATTTCTTTGAACTGTGGAATCTTTGCACAGCTAAAAAATGAGAATTGGGTGCACAATTTGGATTAACAAGCTTCCTCATAATTCAGGATGGATATCTTCTTGGCAGAATTGGTCGTTTCTTTAAACTCGAGAAAGGCTTTAAGAAGACCAGAAGCTCAGTGTTCACCTGCTTTATCTCATAAAAAGCAGCTCTTGTCCTGTTGGAACACTTGACTGTCTATGTTTCAACCACCTAGATGTTTATTTAAGGTGAAGATTTTTGAGGTAGTTCTCTTCTTCTTTATTCCTTAATGTGTAATGTTACTAGTACCACTCACAGCTAAACAGCCCCAGGGTGTGATGCTACCACCGTGCTGTACAGTTGCTCTGTGTTCTTAGGTTTGAGTGGTTTTCTTTTTTGCTGAGAGAAGTTCAGGAGTTCACACTATTTTATTATCAGGCAGTTAAAGGTTTGGGTTGCACAGCTGTGGACTCTCAGTCTGCTTACAGAGAAGAATTTATTAGACACATGAAAACAAACATATTTGTGGTTGGTTATTGATGGGGAGATGCTGTGGTTTAGACTTAGTGCTTGCTGATTTGTTCTCCTCGTCGTCCTTCCACTTGGCCACAGCGGAATTAACCTCAAGTCAGGGATCTTGTCCTGTATAAGAAAACCCATCCCCACCTTATAAATGTTACCAGAGATATTTTATCTTCATGCTGACGTCAGCTGACACAATGAAGTCTTTATTTCTGTTTGACACACAAGGCCAAGCAGCCGTCTCGTCTGAAACTGTGTTCTGCTACAGAGCACAGTTTCAGACGAGACGGCTGCTTGGCTTGAAGGAGTTTGATTTGGAGGCTTATTTCTTCTTTCTCACCCTCTCAGTCCATGGTGATATAAAACTGGTTTCACTGGTGTTCTGTTTCCAGCTCTTGGTGGTTCCCAAACATCCTAACTGAGAACATCATCTGAGGGTCACATCATGGGGCTTCTAGACCAAAAGTGGTGACAGATCTGAATAACTTGTACTTGAATACAGTTGTTTGAACTGATGATCTTTGAATCTGCATTTGTTTAGAAATGAGATCTTTCCACCCTTTCCCTCAGGATGAATAAAGTATTATCAATCAATCAATGAATCAATAAAAGATTAAGTGATTGTGTGTATGTTTGACCCTGTGTGGAGAGAGTCCAAAATGAATTCAAACTTGTGCATCCAGTTCTTGTTTTATTTAAGTTATTAAAGATTGATGTACGGTCATTTCACCCTGGAGAAAGAGTGGATTCAATAAGTCATTAAAAATCCCCAAACGACCATCACATTCATGCTAATGAGTGTTTGTAATCCTCTGACTACAACGTATGTCACAGCTGTGTGGGGTTACTACAGGCTGAAGAACAGCTCGAATCAACATCTGTTCATTCACTCGCACTCTTACCCACATTTACCTCCTTAAATGAAACACGGTAAAGTGTGTGAAGCAGCTGCTGTGGTCTAAATGGTCTGCTTGTCTTTCAGTGTTTGATTCCTGCTGTGCGACCGAGCTCTGAAGCAACAGGATGCCGGGAAAAAACGGCGACCAGTTCAAACCCGGAGACCTGGTGTTCGCCAAGATGAAGGGCTTCCCTCACTGGCCGGCGAGGGTGCGCTCACACCTCAGCTGTAAATACCTGCATGCAGCTGTTTGTGTGTACGCGCTTTAACTCTTCTTCTGTGTTTTACAGATCTGTAAGTCGGACGAGGGGTACAAGAAGCGAGTCCCCGTCTTCTTTTTCGGCACCCATCAGATGTACGTATGTGCAGCTGCAGATCGATCGTATCATTTTCTGAGCAGCATTGATCGAACTGTGATTAATCTCCCCTCCCCAGAGGCTTCCTGCCGCCGGAGAACATCGTCCCTTATGTGGGAAACAAGATGAAGTATGGCAGCGGCGTTCGCATCAAAGGCTTCACCGAGGGCATGTGGGAGATCCAGAACACGCCTGGAGTCGGGAGTAAACTCAAAGTCAGTCTCTCTTTAAAGATCACTCATCAGTTGCAATTAAAATGCTACGTAATCGCTTCAGTTCATTTTTATGTAATTGAATGGTTATGAATGAACTGCTAAAAGCATTTTCTAATGATGTGTTTGTAATATTTCTGACGCACTGCTTAAAAAAAGCTTATATAGCTTTAAAATTATATTTGTGATGATGTATCTGGTATATAAAAATACTGAACAGTGTTTTATTGATGCTTTCATTGATGCTGCCGCTTTTATTAATGTCAGTGAATTCAGGGCATTTTCCACCTTCTCCAGTTAGCTGCTGTGATTGATCAGACACTCTTACATCACCTAAACAATTATATTGGGTGATTTGATGTGGCACAGCTTTACTTCAGTAGTATCAGTCTGTCCAGTTGGGTCAGATCATCACCTGAAGTGACAGGTCCAACAGTGAGGGCAGGTTCTCTTCACAGATGTGAGCAGGTTCAGGATGACCTCATGTGACAGACATGAAAGAGTAAATGTTTCACGTGCAGCATCATCTCAACTAGTTACATTTGTTTTGGAAGCTGACCAATCAGAACAGACTAGGGTCAAAGGCATGGATAGGGGGCTGAAAAGGCTATTTCCAACATATTTCTCACACTGCTGGCACCTCTGCTTCATAAATGTTTATAGCCCATGAGTGAGGCATGTTTCGGTTCTAATAAAGGTTCTTCGTTCTATCTTCTGTTCAGGTACCGGGGAAGACAAACACAGAAAGTACACCAGCAAAACCGGCTTCCGCAACCAAAGCTACTCCAGCTAAACCAACCCCAGCACCTAAAACTACACCTGCCAAATCACCCAAGGCTACACCTGCCAAGTCCGCACCAGCGACCAAATCTACACCCTCTAAACCGACGTCTGCTGCTAAAAGTCCAACTCCAAGCGCTGTCACTAAATCTTCCCCCAGCAGATCCGAGTCGGCCAGTAAAGCTGCCGCCGACAGGCGGCGCACAGGAGGCGAAAAGGAAGCTGCTGTTAAAACTCCCACACGAGTTTCATCAAGATTGGCTGCAGAGCAAAGTGAGGAGTCCAAGCAGGCTTCCACCCCTGCTGCAGACACTGCAGAGACCGTTGCGACTGCTCGAACCAGAAGGTCGGCAAGCGGCGGTCCGTCTGCAGGAGGGAGTGCAGGTGAACGCACCGCCTTGGCCAAGACAGACAAAGAGGTGAGAGGTTAAATGTTTTAAAGCTGTGGGGCTGTTCCATTTGGAGACAGGGCCTCTGGACTGGCAGTGGTTCAGCAGTGGTTCTGGGGTCTCTCAGCCTCCCTGCAACAACTATACCAGGGGGCTGGAGATGGTGCCTGTCAGTCGGACAGTGAGGGTTACCATCCTGGTTGTGGAGCACTGGACCCACTCTGTATGTGCTCTGTGAACTTGGAAAAATCACATCCTCAGAGTGTGCTGCAGGGAGGGATTTAGAAGGATTAAGCTCCTTGTTGTGTGCTGGTGTTTCACTGTCTGTTGTGAGATTGAACTTGAAAGCTGCAAAGTGAGGGGAAAAAAATAAAATAAAATAAAATAAATAAATAAATAAATAAATAAATATATATATATATATATATATATATATATATATATATATATATATATATATATTTATTTTTTTTATTTTTTTATTTTTTTGGGTGGGGGGGGTAATTCAGAAGCACGGAGGAGTTGTCTGCAGAGGAGGGGGATGTGGGAAACTCGAGACATAAACACAAGTAGAATAGTTTCATCTTCTTAATGTTTATCCCATCCATGTGTCCATCAGTGTCTGTCTCAACGGGTGGTGCTGTGGAGTAGTTGGATGTCACAGATTAAACATTTTCATGGAGATTTGAGCACATTTCTGCATCTGTAGATCACAGATAATGACGTGGACCTACAGTGGAGAGAGAATAAAGGTTTTGCTTGATATTGTTTTTTTGGCTTTGCACCTGCGGATATTTCTGTGGATATTTTCCTGTTTTCTGGATATATAGATTAGTAAAGCAGGGCGACAGAGATCCGTCTCTGTGTGCTCGAAATTGGAGGATTGAATTGAAGCTTGAAGCTCCCATGCAGAAGCTTCCAAAGCACCAACAAATCTGTGTGGACGACTGTCTCGGGCTCACGTCACCGCCTTTGAAGGCTTTTTCAAGTTTTTCCTGCAACAGGAAAAAAGTGTCTGGTTCATTCTGCTCTAACACACCCTCATGAGAACACCAGCAATCCATGGCTCGCCTCATCCTCTAGTTTATGGAAGAAACTGGAGCTTCTTCTTTTATTAGAGCTCAGTGGGGAAGAGCATGGTGAACTGTTGACATTAAATGCTTACAAATAAACTTTTGTTTCTTCTTTTTCTTCTTTTTCTCAGACAGGAGCGGTCAAAGCTTCAGTGGGTGAAACCACAGCGAGTAAAGAAAAGGCTAAAAGCACAACTGAAGCAGAACCCAGACAGGCTGAAGCCTCCAAAGAAGCTGCAAGTGAAGTGACGACCAGGAGCCGAGCAGAAGAGCCGAAGCTGAACACGCATGGAGTGATGCTGCCCATTGTAAGTTTAAATGAGCCATTAATAACTTGTGTTATTCAGCAGCTCAACACTGTTCAAAGAAAAGCCTTCAGTTCTTTCTTTGATTAAAATGTAAGATTTAATCTAAAAGCTCAATTCAGACCCTCTGCTAATCTAATGCGTTGCTAAGCAACAGAGACACATGTTAAACTTCTTTTTCTCATTTTGTCTTTTCAGCTTTTGAATAAAGTTTCATGTTTTCCTCGTCTCCGTCAGATCAATGTGAAGCTGCAGAAGATGGAACCTGCTCTGATGACGACCGGTGGAAGGAGGGAGGAGGAGGAGGAGGAGGAAAAGAAAGAGAGCAGAGACTTCAAGCGCCGAAATGAAGAGAAGGTGGAGAAGAAGGAGGAGGAAAAGGAAGACAGCAGAAGAGTAAGGACAAGGAGAGATGAGAGGGAGGAGCAGAAGAAAGAGGGCCGAGGAGTGAAGAGGAGGAAGGAGGAGGAGGACGAGAAGAAGGTGGATGAGGGGAAGGAGAAGGAAGATGACAAAGGAGTCAAGAAGAGAAGAGAGAAGAAAAACGATGAGGAGGTGGTCCAGAGGAAAACGAATGCGAAAGAGGAAGGAGAAAAAGAAGAGGCCCGAGGAGTCAAGAGGAAGAGCGAAGGGGAGGTGCAGAAGAAAAGTCAGGACAGCAGCGAGGAAAAGGCAACGATGGAGAGACGATCATCAAAAAGACACAAGGAACAGGAAAAGGGAACAGAGGAGGAAGGAGTAAAGACGAGTCCAGCTGAGAAGGAGGAGGAGGAGGAGGAGAAGCAGAAGAGAGACAGGAGCACAGAGGGCAAAGAAACAAGGAGGATGAAAGAAAAAGAGGCGGAGAAAGCGAGGAAGGATATTTCAGAGGAAAAGAAAGATGTGAAGAGTAAGGAGGTGGAGGAAGAGGGGGAGAAGAGGAGAGACAGGAGGCTGGAAGCCAGAGAAATGAGAAGGACGAAAGAAAAGGAGGAGCAGCAGAAAACGAGAAATGACACATCAGAAGAAAAAAATTTAAGAACAGAGGAGGAGAAGGTGGTTGAAAAGGAGAAAATAAGTAGGGACACCAGTGAGGCCCGAGAAACGAGGAGGACAAGAGAAAAGGAGGCGCTTCGGAAGATGAGGACGGATGCTTCACAGAAAAGGAAAGATTTAGGAAGAGAAAAGGCGGCGAAGAAGTTGGAAGAGGAGAAGACAAGGAGAGAAAGGAGCACAGAGGCCCGAGAAACGAGGAAAACAAGAGAAAAGGAGGTGCAGCAGAAAACGAGAAACGATCATTCAGAAGAAAAAGATTTAGGAAGAGAGAAGGAGGAGCAGAAGGTGGAAGAGGAGACGACAAGGAAAGACACCAGCCCGGAGCCCAAAGAAATGAGGAGGACGAGAGAAAAGGAGGCACTTCAGAAGATGAGGAAGGATGATTCAGATGAAAGGAAACAGTCAAGAAGAGAGAAGGAGGTGAAGAAGGTGCAGCAGAAGGCGAGGAAGGATGTTATAGAAGCAAAGAAAGATTTAAGAAGAGAAGAGGAGCAGAAGAAAAAGGTGGAAGAGGAGAAGAGGGAGAGGAGATCTGAGGGAGAGAAGCAGAAGGAGAAAACTGAGAGGGAGAAAAGAGGAGGTGCTGCTCCAGACGATGAGGTAGAGTCTGTCTTCATTAAGGAAATGTTTTAAATTGAAGAGAAGGATGAAAACGTCTCAACATTTCTCCTGCAGCGACAGCGCCACCTGGCCGCCAAGAGGGAGAGCGTGTTAAAGTCTCTGAGGGGTCTGCTGAAGGCCGGGAGAGGAGGGAGGAGGAGGGAGGCAACGAGGAGCGCTCTGTAAGAGGAAGGGGAAAAAAATGATACGGTAAAATCAGTCAGGAGTTTAAACCTCTGTCTGTTTTCTCATCAGGAGAGGCGGCGACGGAGCGAAGAGGAGGAGGACAGGAAGCCCGACAAGGTCAGAGTGGAGGAGTGCGAAGGAGTCGACCTCAGCCAAGAAAACATCAGAGAAGAAGAAGGAAGGAGCCAAGAAGGGGAACGGCAGGACATCGCAGAAGATGAAGGTAGAAGAAAAGTTGGAGAAAAGTCGAGATGTGGAGCTGAAGACAAAGGAAAAGGAGGAGGAGAAGAAGACTGATGAAGAAAAGAAGGAGGAGAGAAAAATAATTGGAAAGATCGTCAAGGCAACAGCTGGGCAGGGTCCGAAGGTCCAGGTGAAGACGATGATGGGAGGAATGACCGTGAGGGAAGAGGAGAAGGTGGGAGGAACATCTGCAAAGGAGGGGGAGAAGAAGAAAGAGGAGAAGGTGGAAAAGAAAAGAAGTTTGGAGAAAGAGAAGAAGAAGGACGCTGAAGAAAAAGAGAAGTCGGATGATGGGAGCTCGAAGAAAAGCATCGAGGTCCAGATGAAATCTGAAAGAACTCAAGCGGAGGAGAAAAAAGCCAAGAGCGTGACGGAGGCTGCGAAGAAAAACGAGGAGCGCAAGGAGGAGGGGGAAGCAGCAGCAGCAAGAAGAAAAGAACAGGAGGGTGAAGAAAAGAAGAAGGACGAGGCGGAGAAACCAAAAAAGGCGGAAAATGCAGAAAAACGCAAAACGCAAAAAACAACGGGCGAGAAGAAATGTGAAGGCGCGGAGCCGGGCGGGCAGAGGAAGACCGGCGAGGAGAAGGAAAGTGACGGAGCGAGCCAACCCGAGACGTCAGCAGCAGTGGAGAAGAGCGCTGGAGGAGAAGGTAACCCGGTAAAGGAGCAGCAGAAGAAGCGCTCGACGGTGACGCTGACGGACTCGACGCTACACCGGATCCACGGAGACATCCGGATCTCTCTGAAGAACGACAATCCCGTAAGAGCCGAAACTTAAACTGGCTGCAGATTAACGACGGCACAAAATGTAAAACCGTTCACAGTGATTTTATAAAAAGTGAGCCGACATTAGATCATTTTTATGATTCTCACTGCTTTAGCTATCAGGAGCTACATCGCCCCCTTGTGGCCAGAAAATCTAAATGCAGCTTTAATATTTCAAAAACGCTGCATGCTTACTGAAACTGAACGACGCGACTAATGTGCTTCATCCTCAGGACATCAGCAAGTGTCTGGCGGCGCTGAATCAGCTCAGTATGGTTTATGTGACGTCTCAACACGTCCAGAGGCACAGCGAGCTCGTCGCCACGCTCAGGAAGGTAAACGCACATACTGATATCCTCGTGGTGGTTCTTGGATAAGCAATGCATCTGACCTGTCACACTACTATGATGTCATCGCTTTGTGTCCACTCAGGACAAGAAATCACAAAAATGGGGTGGGGGTTAGGGTGTCACTGTGACTACGTTTGGGATTAGGTGTGATGGTGTTTCCACGTAGCAAAGCTATGACATCACTCCAAGGTGATTGGTCACTTGCAACCTTAAACCTGGACTGAATTCAGAATAAATCAAATGAATAAACAAATAATAACTATACAAATCGTGTCAGTTGTTATTATGTATTTGTTTTCCTCGTGAGCAGATGCGTTACTACCGGGCAAACCAGGACATCATGGACAAGGCGTCGATGCTCTATAACCGCTTCAAGAACGCCTTCCTGGTGGGGGAGGGGGAGGAGGTGGTGAGCGCCGCCTTTCTGCGCTCGCTGCTGGAGGAGAAGGAGGAGGAGGAGGCGCAGAGGGTGGAGCGCTGTATGGAGAAGGTGAGGAAGGAGGGGCTGCTGCACGAGGCGAAGAGAAGTATGGGGCAGGTGAACAAGAAGAGGAATAACGGAGGAGAAGATGGAGAGGAGAAAGCTGAAGGTAAAAATAAATAAAAACTAAATCAACTGATTTGTGACAAGAAATTACACAAACTTACAAGAAGTAAAAATATTAAAGACAAGCGTTTATAGCTTATATTAGAAAATATTTTAAAAGTAAAATTGAGAAAACATAATTTCATAAATAACACTGAAATATTTACACCACATCTTTTGTTTTTGTAATAATAATTAAAGTTATATACAGAAAAAAATTACTTTTTATTTTTGTAAGTTTTATTTCTTTTTTTATTAAAGCATTAATACTGACATTTTGTGAGGGGCGTTTATTTAAATGCAAAAATGCTGTTGTACATTTTGGTTTTTTGCTGTTTGTTTGGTTTCACTTCATAATTTTTGTGTGTGTATGTGTATGTATATGTATATATATATATATATATATACACACTTTTTTTTTTTTTTTTTTTTTTTTTTTTGGATTTATGTAATAATTTTGCCCCCCTCTCCAAAAGCTCCAGTGGACTCCTCCTGACGGCTCATGATCACTGGAAGCAGCCTGGACCGGACCAACTGCTACTGGGGGGAGCAACACAGACACACAATAGGATTTTCCAAAACCACTTACCTCATTGGGCAGTAGCGTGCTTACCTGTTTAACTTCTCGCAGTGTGGACTGTCACACCTTAGCAGGTGTGCTGTTCTTACCCCACAGCTTGTTGTGCTAAGGCCACCTTATTAAGTTATTAAGCGCTTTGGAGCAGCTGATTTTATTTTAACTGGATGTTTATCTATTTTCCACTTTAATGTAATGAGCGTTAAACTGACGGCGAGAGCATTACACACCTAAGCATTAATGTGTACCTGCTGTTTAAGCTGACGTCCTGTTGCTGTGACATTTAGAGGCGAGATTTTCCTGCACCTGACACAGTTCTGACTCTGTCATCTCTTATGAAGTTTTTTGTCATCGCCGTCACTGGGGCTGATATTTTTTCTTTCTTTTTTTAAACTGAAGCATTAAACCTTGAGATGCACGAGGCCTACAGACGGTTCTGGCCGTTTTAATTTTTTTGGTTTTTTTGTGATTCAATGATGTGTTTTTATTCCTTTTAGCAGTTTTATTCCTGTTATCTTGGTCTTCATGTAAATATGTATTTTTTTTATTTCACAAATAAGAATTTTACAAACTTAACAAAGAGTCTCAAGTCTGATTATTATTATTTTACCCACATACACTCAACGACCACTTTATTAGGTACACCTTGGTAGTGACAGGCTGCGTATCCATGGTGTGAATCTCCTGTTCCTCCACATCCCTAAGCTGCTCTGCTGCAGTGAGATCTGGTGATTGTGGAGGCCATTTGAGGACAGTGAACTCATCGTCATGTAGGCAGTGTGTCATGTTGCCATCATAAAGGCCTGGACAATAATTGGGCAGGTTGTTTAAACAAGGCTCAGTTGGCACTCTCACACCAGCCACAGCTTGAACCCCAGTCTGAACTCAACCATGTAGAGCATGTCGACGCTACAATACAGTTGGCTGATTATATACTTGCATTAACATGCAGAGGAGCCTGTGCCTAATAAAGTGGCCATTTTAAATTTATAGTTAAAATATAATTTATATATGACACATAGAAGAAAAGGGATTTGCTTTGAATCAAAACAGTAGGTTGAACTTCTGCCTGCTGTCTGGTTTTAGTGTTTTTTTTGTCCCATTAATAAACACGAGCCCCCCCCCTACACACTTAATGTGCCCCCGTCCCGTGCCCACATGTAATCTGCGCCTCTGCCTGATCTGCTTACACAAACACTGGCCTCCTCCGTTTCCTCCCTCTCTCCTCTCCTCCTTCATTCCCTCCCTCTCTTCTATTTTCTATGGGCGGAGAAACGGAAATGTGGGAGGTGTGTTTTCTCTCCGTGTTTCTTTCACGGAAGAGACCAGAGGCAAAGAAGCGCGCCTGACTCAAGGACGAAGCGGACCTACGGCGATAAGAATCAAAATAAACGGAGCACAGAGGAGCAGAAGGAGATCCGTGCGCAGCCGCAGAGGAGCGGAGGTTCGGCTGCAGCTGTCATGGGACTCTGCCCGTCCTCGTAGCGGAACCAGGCGACCCGCGGACCAGAGGGAGAACAGGCACCGGGAGCGGACATGGCCCACGTAGGCAACGGAGCGGCCGCAGAGGAGGAGGTGGGAGCCGGAGATCGCATTTAACGCACGCATTTCCACTGACATGTCCACAGTGCGTGATGTAACCAGTTATTTGTGATGATGTTCCCACTTTGATCTCATATACCTACATCACGTGGGCTACATCCACCAGGCTGTTGAGGGTGTTTTAGTCTCTGTCACATCAGAGTTCTGGAAAGGACAGATTTTACACCTAAACTGTGAATATGATATCAGAAACTGGTTAGGCGTTAAAAACACACACCTTTGTTTGGCTGGAAAGCATAGACTGTATTAAAAGATGGCCACAGCTATGGCTTTGGCTTCAAAATTGGTGTTTTGGCCGCGACCATGCTGGATTTTTGCAGGGACCTAAAAGGGACGTGTTGGTAATAAAATGCTTTGAAAGGCGCAAGCAGCACAAGGTTCAGCATCTCCAATTAGCTCGAGTGAAACCTAGCAAGCAGCCGTCATTAAAAACAGTGGCCACGCCCCCTAGCATTAATATAGTTTGAATAGGTGAGTTATATGAACATTTATAACCCTTTACAGTTGTTATGAAGGTCAAATTTAGCTGCACAGCTTTTTCTTTCAATTTCCACTGTATGTTTTAACATTAGAGTCTCACTTTTCTGAGCCAGCCTCTAGCCGACGTTAGAGGAACTGCAGTTTTTAGCACTACCTTTCTTTAGCTCTGAATGTTGATGTGCGTTAAAACACAAAAAAATAACCTACTGCTACTGTGCTGCTAGAGGAGAAAGCCTTATGTGGTATATGTGTTGGTAGCTAGATATGTGTACATATAGTGTGTTTTATCACTGTATAGTGGTACCATTTCTAAATAATGCAACATAAACGCGTAGTCCTTATCGGTTTCTGTCAGGTTTTCTCATCTTTTCACCACGCCTGTCTATATTTCTGTTGAAATCGACCTTACAAAGCCTCCTGTAGTATTTCAGTGAGACTTTCATTTTTTCCTATGTTTGTGCTTCTATAGTCACCACAGACTGTATCCATGGATGCAAAATGAACTCCCAACTGACCGTAAATAGATCCTAATCTATACAATTCTCCAAACATACAGTGCTGCACGCATGTAGGGCAGCTGAGTTACAGCAAAACCCATCATCACACCTATTCCAGATCCGTTTTATTTACAATGATTACTCACAGGGGAAAAAACAGTTTACTTTGAACTGAACTAAATGTGCCGCAGGCTGTGGGGAGTGAATTTGGACTTTGATTAAGTGGTAAAAGTAGAGGACAGGGGTGTGCACCAAAGGGCAATTCATTAATAAATATACAATGCAGCACAGTAACTTTTCATTTTATCTTGATCGCCATCCTTGAGCAATGTATGGGACCATAGATCTGTCATAATATGGGATTCTCACTGAGCTCTGGATGTATTTCCTTAGTTATGTGTAGAGCTGTGGAGGCAGCCTGCTCATTATTGGATTTATGTCTCAGCGCTAAGTGAGCTGATAGTATTGGTTCACGTGTCTGCATGTGTGCACAGCTTCATGTAAATGACAGCTCTGATTTCAGCCACAGGCTGCCTCCTGCACTGTAAACACAGGAAATATCAGGTTTTTTTCTGCACTTTCACACCACCACATTCATTCAAATTCACATTCACATTCAAACTAGTGAAAAGATAACATCAGTGAGCTGAGGAAGTCAAAATGTTCACAGTATGCTAACTTTGTCAGTGGTAACATGATGGGAACCGAGTTCCCAGGTTTAATTTTTAACCTTTGTTTTCACTAAAGCCAGTCCTCCACCCTGACCCTCCCTGGTTCACACTGTTCAAATGGGGAGTGTCGCAGTACAGCTGTAATGTAGAAGAGAGTTCATCAACTGGTTTGTCATGGTGTTAAAGGATATTTTGAGGTTTTCTAGTTTAGATGACAGGGTTCAGCAGGTCTGTATACTGGATATATGGCTGGGCTGTAGAGACCATCAGGTGTTCTTTGGAAGCAGCCATTCAAAATCATCTCCACAAGACACTAGACACAAAACCCAGCAATAGGCACAAAAGACCCCCAAAACAGAAACGGAACCAAAAGAAGTCTCCATAAACTCTTAAAATATCCTGAGAAAGTGGACCACCAAGAGAGCTGTCACTACTCGATCTGTACCGGAAACCCAATCCGTACCATGCATTTTCGACAGGCGTGTACTTCGAAGCATTTTACGATAGTTACAGGTCAGAGTATCTGTTAAGGCAGGGGTAGGGAACTCCAGGCCTGCAGGTTTTAGATGTGTCCTTGATCCAACACAGCTGATTTAAATGGCTAAATTACCTCCTCAACATGTCTTGAAGTTCTCCAGAGGCCTGGTAATGGACTAATCATTTGATTCAGGTGTGGTGACCCAGGGTGAGATCTAAAACCTGCAGGACACCGGCTCTTAAGGACTAACGTCCCCTACCCCTGTATTAAGGTGTTAACAATAATAGGTATCTCTTAAAATGTGTGCGATAATGAAACCTTTCTATATAATGTAGACAAAAACAAAGACAGTTATAAATCGGGTCTACAGGATCCGTACCACGCATGTGCAGATGTTTTCTTATTCTTCTGTTTCATTTAATGGCAGTTTGTACAAGGATACCGCCACTTGCTGACCGAGCGAATGAACCCTATTGTAAACCGGAGTAGCGTCATTATTAGGGATGGGTATTGATAAGATTTTCACGATTCCGATTCCATTTTCGATTCTGTTTAACGATTCGATTCTTTATCGATTCTTTTTTTTTTAAAAAGGAGAACACTAAGGTCGATTATCTTAGAACTTTGTTTTATATCTTCTCTTTGAACAAGATAGAAATTTAGGAGTAACATGGCCTTACAAACCCAACAGTGAGATCTTAAGAGATCCAGCCTACGGCTCTTCAATGGGGTGTCACAGGGTCCCCGGGGAAAAAAATTGTAAATGTAAAATAATAAAATAAATATTCGTCTGCAGCAATAACAAAGTATAACATAAATTGTTCTGTGGCAATTACACAAGAATATCCAGTAATGTCCCTGCCTACAATTAAACACATTCACTTACCGAAAATCGGGAACATCTGCTGTGGCAGCCTTTGACCACAAACTTAGTCACTGCTCGGTGACATTTTTCTATCCTGGCCTGAAAGGAGACGCTACCGGTAGACTGCAGCGAGAACTGCCAGCATCTGAGCCAAACTCTGTCTCTCTCATCATGGTCACCTAAATGCACAGTAATGGCAGGTTTTGTAATAAGGCAGATCGCGCTAACATAATATGCACTGTTAGTTGATTATTTACCTGCCGCATTAACGGCAGAGGACGTGCAAACGTTACCGCTGCTGCTGGGTTGAGATTCACGAGTCCGGAGCAGAATTAAAAACTTCATTTAAGGTTATCACGTGTTTTGTGAGCAAATGCTTTTGCATATTCATAGTGTTTCCTCCCTTAAATGAAATATCTACTTTGCAAGTATTGCAAGTTGCCCTGTTGTCATCCGTTCTCGTAAAGTATAATCAAACTTTTGAGCGTTGAGCTTAGGCGCCGTGTTTCCTGCCAGGTAAATGACGCTCCGCAACGTGGTGACGTCATTCGGGGCGACTGGAATCGATAAGGGAATCGTTTGCAAAAATGGCAAACAATTCCAAGGAATTGAAACAGTGGGAACCGGTTCTCAACAAGAACCGGTTTTCGATACCCATCCCTAGTCATTATAAACGTGTGTTAAACTTGATTTAGTGATAGAGTGTGTTCATGCTTGTCTGTGAGGAGAGGATTGTTGGAATAGTGATGATGATGTTCGCTATCACTGTCAATTGTCAGTAAACACTTAATCTGGCTGATGAATCTTCACGTGACACATTACTAAGTCAGTATTGTTAAGTCTGTAATTAGGCGCCATTCTTCTTATTTTACGGCGCTGTTGTTCAATCGGGGGACGCTCTCTGTTGAGTAGAAAAGCACGACTTTGTTTGTATACGGATTATCCATTGTTTAAATGTCCCGGGCAGTCGAAAAGGAGGCAGAGCTGTTGAGAAATGCTAGGAGCTAACTGGGCGCTAACCGTGCCATTCAAATACATTAACCGTCACAATGTTGGCAAAGAGAGGAAGTGACGTAAGATTCACGCATCATGGTACACATCGGGTTTCCGGTACAGATCGGGTAGTGACAAGCGCTAAAGCATGCCAAGGGGGCTGAAGGGCCATCGGGATATTTTTTGAAACTCTGTACTAACTTCTATTTAGAGATGTTTCAGGGTTTCGTCAAGTTGCTATGTGAAGAGAATTGGAGACGTCTAGGAGTTCAGTTCAGCGCACACACTAAAGAAAGATTTTTATGAGGACTTTCACTTATTTGCAAGTTTGGGTATCTGCAAGGACTTCAGCAAAACTAAAAATCCAGGGGGATTTTAGTAGGATATTTATAGGTCCATGGCTCTTAATCTCCCTTAAAACTACTTGTTTTGCTACCAGATGAACTTAGCAAGCAGGACACCCAATTAGCCTCCATAAAGCCTTTTTACCTGTTTGTCTCTGAAGAGGTGTCAAGGATTCAGATGGAAATGACCATTTTCCCCGATAGACCCGCTGCAGACATTAAGGTTGATGACATGGGTTGGTTTTTTCTGTTAAGGCCCTCTTGCGTCACACCTCAGCCAGTCATTTCCTCATTTCAGCTGACAAATGCTCCTGTGTTCGACCCCTTCAGCCTTGACTCATCCTAATACAGAGGAATTCAGCTGACTTTCGCTCAGCTCTAAATAATGTGAGGCGAGCTGTTTTTATTTAAAAAACACTCAGTGCAAGGGTATTGCCTCTGCTCAGACTGAAACTACTAATCATGTCAGTTTTGGCATGTTTGCTGTGACATTTGACTGTCTGTGAATCCAGGATCTTAAGTTCATCCTACCATGCAGTGCACACACCCAAAGGCGCGACAGGAATGTGAGCAACGCCAAGAAAACACAGATCAGCTCAGTCTTATAGAATATAATGCACACCTTTCTCACAGCCAGTTAGGAAG